TTCTATTTCCAAATTTTTAAGGAATCACCATAGCAATTCTTACAGTGGTTGAATCATTTTACAGTCCCACCAGCAGTGTATGAGAGTCCCGATCTCTCCACATCCTCGCCAGCACTTGTTAATTTCTATCTTGTTGAACTTTGCTGTTAATGCTGGGGTGAGATGTTATCTCATGGTTGTTTTGATTTGCATCTCTCTAATGGGTAATGATTGCGAACATTTCTTCAAGTGTTTGTTGGCTGCCTGAATATCTTCTTTGGTGAAGTGTCTGTTCATCTCACGGATCTTTGCCCCCCACTTTGCTGGAGAACAAAACCGAAGCACATATCATAAGTATCCAATAGTGGAAGGCAGCAAACATTATCAGTGCCTCCCAGATGTGTATGGCCTATCCTAGCAGCTGTGAGGGGTGCAGGCTTAATTTTGGAAGGAAACAACAGTTGCCAAACACCTTCTACTTGCAGGCCCTGAACTAAGTGCTTTACATTTTTATCCTGTGTGTGTGTGTGTGTGTGTGTGTAATAGATAACTTTCTCTAGGGGCAGGGAGGCATTTAGGCTCAGAACTTTTGTAACTGCTTTCTTTCTTGGTGCTGGTGGCCTTGGTGACCTTGAGCACATTAAAGTGTACAGTCTTGTTCAGAGGCTGGCACTGTCCATTGTGATGATGTCATCAATCTAGATGTCCCTGAAGCAGAGAGACAGGTGCACAGACATGGTCTTATGGCACTTCTCAAAACAATTGTACTCACAGATATAGTGGAGGTAGTCCCAGTGGATGACAGTGGTCTTCTGCATTTTCATCTTGAAAATCCCATGCCATATAGAATGAGCCTTTGGATGAGACATTACCAGTGAAGGAGCATTTCTTCTCAATGTAGGTGGCCTCAGTGGCCTCCTTGGTGTCTTGAAGCCCAGACTGATGTTCTTGTAGTAACATGGGAGCTTCTCCTTGCCAGTTTTTCCAAGCTGGACTCTCTTATTTTGGAAGATGGTCGGCTGTTTTTGGTGGGCATGCTCGGTCTGAATGTTCTCCACTTTCCCAACCACTTGGGAAGAACAGCTTTATCTTGCTTTATGCCATTTCCTCTTCACACTGCCCTGCAGGGATAGGTCATGGTACCGCCATGTTATAAATGGAGAACCTCACGTGTGAACCAATGACTCGCGCAAGATCACAGAGCTAAGAGAGGCTGAGCCATGACTGGAGCCCAGATCTTTCTATTGCCAGGGCCCCTGCACCTTCCATAAATTGATGTAGGGGAAAAGAATTCAGGAACAGGATTCTGGGCATGGGTGTGAGGTGAGTATCAGAGCACAGAGGAAAGGGTGATTTTATTCATTTTAATTTTTTTAGTTTGAAGTAACTTCAGACTTGCAAAAATAATACGAAGAATTCCCATATGTCCTTCACCTGTTGTTGTTATGTGCCATTGAGTCGTCTCCAATTCACAGCGACCCCTCCTTGGGTTTCCAAGGCAGTATCTCTATGGAAGTAGATTGCCCAACCTTCCTTCTGAGGAATGGCTGGTGGGTTTGAACCTCCAGCCTTCTGGTTAGTAATCAAGTGCCTTAGGCACTATGCTACCAGAACTCCCTACTTTTCACCTAGCTCCCTCAAATGTTAACAACATCTTTCCTAACTGCAGCATAGTTGTCAAAACCAGGAAATGAATGTTGATACAATACTGTTAACTCTTCAGCATGCCCATCTTGCAGAGTTCTTCAGTTGTCCTCCTGCTGCCTGGTCCAGAATCCAGTCCAGGATCCCACGCTGCATTTAGTCTCCTTAGTCTCTTCTGTCTTGGACCGTTCCTCAGGTTTTCTTTGTCTCTCAAGATCTGACAGTTTGGGAGAGTCCTGGCCAGATATTTTGTAGAAGGTCCTTCGTTTTGGATGTGTCTGCTGTTTTCTCATGAATAAATTACGGTTATGCATTTTTGGCACAAATGCCACAGAAGTGATGTTAGACCTTCCTCAGTGCACAGAATCAAGAGGCAAATGACTCTGATATCGTTACTGGCAAGGTTAACTTCAATCACTTGGTTAAGGTGGAGCCTAGCATGTTTCTCCACCTCCTTTGTAATTACAGACAGTCCTCAGGGTATGAATGACATCATCCTTAAGTGTGTCTTTAAGTTTAATTGTAGGTGAGTTGGAACAGGTTCACATGGTTCTTAGTTTTACTTTAGTGCAAGAAAAGGCTTGGAGTCTTTTCCGTGATGTAAAAGCTGCACATGTAACAAATGAAGGTGACTGTGATGAAAATTTGTTGTGAGCAGGGAGTAGGGAAGGAGCTGTGGTGGCGCAGTGGTTAAAGCATTCGGCTACTAACCAAAAAGGTGGACAGTTTGAACCGACCAGCTACTCCATGGGAGAAAGATGAGGCAATCGGCTTCCATAAAGATTTATAGCCTTAGAATCCCTATAAAGCAGTCTGCTCTGTCCTGGAGGGTCACTATGAGTTGGAATCAACTCTGAATGGCAGTGGGTTGGGTTGGGTTTGGGGAGTAGGGTTTGGTTCAGTCATTTCAAAGTGAAGGCAGATTTACATAATGTTAAAGGACATGTACAAATTGTCTGTAAGTCAGAAGCTGGAAGTTCAAAAACGGAGACTTCCTGCAGTAGTATCTTGTGAGGCAGATGCTTGGAGACCATGCAGATAGTCTCTTTCGTAACACACTTGGGTGATTCGGCTGGGTACCCGAGTGACTGTGCTCTGTGTGTTGGACACTCTCAGTGCTGCCTGTGTTCAGATCAGGGTGAGAGGAGAGAAACTGAGATGGTCAAGGACGGCTTTCTGGGAGGAGAGGCGGCAGAATCTAGGGAAGGACTGCCCGGGGAAGGCATGGAGGCAGGGATGCCTGGCTCCTGGTGCCCTCCCACCCATGTGCCTGATCCCCCAGGGCACCCCACCTTTAGGGGCTCTGCCCCATCTCAGCTTCTGAACTAAATCCCTTCTACCAAATTGTCATGGGAACGTGCTTGGTTTTGACCAGACTGTTTACAGACAGATCAGCTGGCTCTTCTCTAAGGGACCTGAAGGGCAGCTGCCCCTACCCCCACCCCACAACCACTTATAGTAATTCCCGGAAGATTTGGGGTCCGTCCTCCACGCCCACCCAGCCTCAACTTTTCTGTCTCAGACTCAGCCAGAACCCCTTCTTCTTTTCATGTATAACCCTAAGTATTGACTGCCCCACCCCACCTTTGCCTCAGTTTCCCTTTTGTGAGGCAAGGGCCTAAGACAGGTCCTTCCGCTACTGGCAGGGCTGGCTACATAATTTGGCGGGACCCATTGCAAAATGAAATTTAGGGCTCCTTGTTCAAAAACACAGGAAAAAAAAATTGCTTTAAAGGTACTGAAATATAAAGCTTTTTTCCCTTTCTTTGATAATCTCTCTTTTGACTTGTCATGGTGTTTTGATTTGCTATTTAATTATCATTCTAAGAAAAGAAAAAGAGAAAGTGAAATGATTAGCATGACTTTGACAGTTCATCCTTATATTGTGCAATGCTGGTTTTAAATGTAAATATAAGAACATTTCACTTGAGTGGAGTCAGTGGAATTACACAGTTGTTAGTTCATAACTCGTACGTGCGTATGTATGTTGTTCTTAGCAGAACACTGGCAATGCCACACAATTCCAGCAGCTGTTTTAATTTCACTTGTTGCTACACGCACACTCCGCCAACACTCGCTACGAGTATGGACTTTCCCTTTCTTCTGGGTCATCATTTTCAGCATCAGTGGTTGCATAATACAGGCAAGTAGTGTGGGTAAGGAAGGTGGGAGTGTTCCGTGGTGGTTGGTGTTTCTTAGAGCCTTCCTCATGATTTGAAGCAAATCCGGGTTTGAAAGGAAAGGACGGCCTCTCGGGTCAGCGGCACAGGCATCCTTGCTGGTCCTCGGTCACTCGGAGTCTTGCCCTTTTCCCCACACAGTGAGCCCACTAGATTTTGTCCTGTGGGGCACGCGAATGCGATCTATGTGTGGAGAGGCAAGGAATAGCGGCTACACAAACTGTGTGCGTCGCCTCTCTGTGCATGCTCCATGGTCCCACAGACTCCACTTACAAGACACAAGCTCCAAGATAGAATAATTTCATAAGACAGCAACCACAGGGCATTAAACCAAGTGTAGGGCCCTTGTGAGTAGGGGCCCTGTGTGACTGGTATGGCCAGGGTCAGCCCACCCTGCCTCACCTCTTGCCGCTTCCTCCACCACGCAGCCAAACAGAGCTAACACAGCTTCTCAAAGCAAGCCCTGCTGTGTCCTGCCTCTGGGCTTTACCTGTTGTTTCCTCTACAACAGTGGTCCTCAAAGTGTGAACTCTGGACCAGTGGCACCCGCATCACTTGGGGACTTGTTAGAAATGCATATTCCCAGGCCCTGCCCCAGACCTACCAAACAGGGAGAGGGCCCAGTACTCTGGTCTTTCACAAGCTCCTCGGGTACTTTTGACCACCACTGTGCTCTGGTGGCATAGTGGATAAGGCATTTGGCTGTCAACCAGAAGGTCAGCAGTTCATAACCCCCCAACCGCTCCTCAGAAGGGAAAGATTTACAGCCTCAGAAATCTAGTAGGGGTCATTATGAGTCAGAATTGCCTCAATGGCAGTGAGTTTGGTTTTGGTTTTGTGCTTCCTGAAATACTTTCCCACCTCATTTCGGCCGCTTAACTCCTGCTGTTCCCCCTTCACTGTAAATGTCACTTTTTGGGGAAGGCCTAGCCCTTGGTTGAATGGCACCCTGAGCTCTCCTGGTCTTTTCTGAGAGTTCCTGACTCCACGCCTCCCCTGACGTGGGCTCTGGGTGTGTCTGTCTTGTTCTCCATCTTGTCCTGAGGACTGAATAGGGCAAACAGTGGCAAACACTAAGTGAGGGTGAAATTGTTGGATGCAGGGGTTGGCCGAGGGAGTGAGAGGAGGTGCCTGATGGATCACACAGGGGCCAGAGGGTAGCAGGCGAGAGGCTGACCCAGACCGTCCCCTCTCCAGGTACAGCCTGTACACACGCACCTGGCTCGGGTACCTCTTCTATCGCCAGCAGCTGCGCAGGGCTCGGAATCGCTACCCTAAGGGCCATTCCAGAACCCAGCCCCGCCTCTTCAATGGTGAGCTCTGGCCGGCCCTGGCCAGCAACCCCCAACTGTGCCCACCCCACCCTCCCTGCCTACACCCCCAGCCACCCTGCTCCCTGCCTGCCACCCCACCCACAGCCCCTCTCTGTCCCCAAGGGGTGAAGGTGCTTCCCATCCCGGTCCTTGCGGACAACTACAGCTACCTCATCATCGACACCCAGGCCCGGCTGGCTGTGGCGGTGGACCCTTCCGACCCTCGGGCCGTTCAGGTGAGAGGACTACGGGGGCAGGGGAGTTCCGGGGACAACCCAGGGGGGCTTGCAGCTTCCCCTTGCTAGAGAGAGATTGGCCCTCGTCCCTCTGCCAATGGGATGTGGCACTTGCCAGTCTTGCCCCCTCCACCCTATACTAGATGCTTGCCCCTACCCCCTGTAGTGTTATGTATGTGGGGGGGTGTTTGTGTATTTTGTGGAGGTCTGTGCCTCTATACAGAGACCACACACACACACACACACACAGCATGGAGGCGAGTCAAGTGTCCAGAGCAGGGTGGGTGAAATGGGGAGGGCAGGGGCTGAGGGGACCAGGGCCAGAGGGAGAGAGTCGCTGCCCCCAGAGGTGGGCCTAGTGAGTTTCCATCTGCCTCTCACTCTGTCTCCCTGTCTGACCCCTTCTTCTCTCCTCACCCCTTTGTCAGTATTTGGGTCAGTCTTTCCCTCCCATTTCTCATTTCTCTGTGTCTGTGGGTCGCTACCTCCTCTCTTCTCCGCCACCTCCCCACTGCCCACCACGTGCCCCGTGCTGGGTCTCAGTCCGTTCCCTCCTCACCTTCTCTGTTCCCCAGCTCTCTCCACCCCACCCCCTTCTCCTTTTCCTCTTCTTTATCTCCCTCTGCTCCCCTCTCCTCCCTGCCCAACACCCCCCACCCCCATGTCCACATCACTTTCTGCTGTGTCTCTCTCTCTCTGCCTTCCTCTCTTCTGTCTCAATACCTCCTCCTCCTCTCTCCCGGCCAGGCTTCCATTGAAAAGGAGGGTGTTACCTTGGTTGCCATTCTCTGCACCCACAAGCACTGGTAAGGGGCTGAGTGGGGGGACTGGGATGCAGTCTTACCTGGGCCCAGCTGGGCTTGTTGGACTGGGCCCACAATACCAGCCTGCTGGGAATAGGCAACACACGTCTTCCCAAAGTCACTGGGGTACAAGCAGAGATGGAGAGCAGGCATTTGCACCACCCCACTTTTCCAGGCTCCGAAGACCCAGGGAGGTGAGGGCAGGCATTCATTCATCTTCCATTCCACGGGCATTTATTGGATGCCTCCTGTGCACTGGGCATAGGCAAAACATGTCATCTCTGCCATCAAGGAGATTACAGTCTGGTAGCAGGAGACAGCTCTGCGTGATAGTGCATTACCATTACAAACATTTAGGGGGCGCTTGCCACAAGGCACGAAGGAGGGGGGCACCAGGTGGGGTGTGGTCAGATCCCCTTGTAGAATTAGAGGGTGATGACCTTGGAGTTGAGAGAGTCCAGAGAGATGAGTCAGCATTGGCCATGTTGTTGAGGGGTGGGAGTAGATGACAGGTCAGGGGAGGAGGAGACACTGGACAGGGGAACAACTTGAACAAAGGCCTAGAGGTGTAGACAGTTTGGCTCCATTCCCGAGCCACGGGCCCCAGGGCTCAAAGGCCTGGAGATGCCATGGGAAGTGGGGAGAAGGGTCACCAGGAGGCCCAGGAATGGTTGCCCCTTAGAGACCCCTGCCTCTGCCATCCTACAGGGACCACAGTGGAGGGAACCGTGACCTCAGCCGGAGGCACCGGGACTGCCGGGTTTATGGGAGCCCTCAGGATGGCATCCCCTACCTCACCCAGTAAGTCTCTGACCTGGGGATGGGATCACCATTGTGGGAGCCCTTTCCTTCATCCCCCGTCCTTCACTGGAGTATTTCAGGGTTATCAACAATTGGATCTTCACTGACTCCTTCCTGGCCATCTGGAGTCTGGCACTGCCTACCCCCCATCTGTCCCCTGAAAAGGAGGGAGGAGGGTTTGGGTCTAGACCCTGAGCACTGGCGATGGCCTCTCTGTCTGGTGGAAGTCCACTCTCCCTTGGGCCTAGGATGAGGACAAGAATCAGCATGGCCAAAGCTCTGGTTCCTTCTTCCTCCTATTGTCTTGCTCCCCAGTCCCTTGTGTCATCAAGATGTTGTCAGCGTGGGGCGGCTTCAGATTCGGGCTCTGGCCACTCCAGGCCACACACAAGGCCATCTGGTCTACCTGCTGGATGGGGAGCCCTACAAGGGCCCTTCTTGCCTCTTCTCAGGAGACCTACTCTTCCTCTCTGGCTGTGGTGAGTCCCCCAGATGGGGAGAGCTAGGACCAAGGGAAGGGGGGAGGGACGGAGGCCAGGGCAGCCATGATCCCAGGCAATGCGTTAGTTACAGTGCTGTTCTCAGCCCAGCTGTCGCCCAGCAGATACTCCGGCCTGTGTTACCCTGGCTTGTTTTAATATCCTCAAGACTTCCCAAGGGAGTGCACAGGAGGGGGTGCCTGTGGCTGAGTAAAGACCTCACCACAGGGCATTGTTTGCGCTGGTGGAGCCTGCCTCTCGGATACAGCGACAGGCGGGACTAGGTTTTGAAAAGCTGGGGACCCCTGAGTGAGAGGGTGACCCTGTAGAGGGCGAGGACCACGAATTCAGGCTGCGTGAAGTCCTGAGGGCACCGAGGCCACAGGGGTACACCTCCGAAAAGAGCAGCCCTGTCTCCAAGGTGCTTGGGGCTGGGAGAGCCAGCCTGAAGGTCCTGTACCCCTCTCCATCCGGATGCCACCATGTGGAATGGAGCCCTTCAAATGGGCTTGGGTGGGGGTGAATAATTGGGCCCACCACCCTGGAGGGGAGAGGGAGTAGATGCCTGGGGGGCTAGCTGGTGACCAGCCTGAGCCACACAGGCCGGTCCCCACCCCTCTCCTGTGTCTTATAACATACCCCCTTCACCTCACCCAGGACGGACCTTTGAGGGCACTGCAGAGACCATGCTGAGCTCACTGGACACTGTGCTGGGGCTGGGGGACGATACCCTGCTGTGGCCTGGTGAGGTGTCCCTCCCACCTCCCCATCCCCCATGCTCTTGGCCTGGGACTGCTCTGCCAGCCCCTCACTCCCCAAGATACTGGGCAGAGCAGAGCCCTCTCCCTTCTTTCTGGAGTGCTGCCTCCTTGACACGTCTGCTTCTTATGCCACTGTCTCCTGCCAACCAGCCCTTGGCCTCTTGGGAGCCCTGAAGCCCCAGAGAGTCCCAGAGAGATGGCTAGTTTTTCACAGCCAGAACCCAGAGCAGAAAGTAGCCTTTGTTTATCTGGGGAGAAACCAATAAATTAACTCAGCATATATCCATTGCCTTATAGTTTACAAAACACATTCACAAACATGTCAGTTAATCTTCAGAACATTCATTCATTCATTCCTTCATTTGACAAATACTTTATAGAACACCTACTATGTGCTGAGCTCTGTCCTAGGCATCAGGGAGCAACATCTGTGTCTTAGTTGGCATTATTGTTTTCTCCACTTTGCACAAAATTGAGGCTCAAAGAGGTGACATGACTTGTCTAAGGTCACAGGGCTGGATAGGGGCAGAGTCAGGACTAGAATGCAGGTCTTCCTAGTCCAGTGGGGCCCTCCAAACCTCCTTTACCTCTTAGCTCATGGTTACCTCTGCCCACATTTAAAGAAGTAGCACCGAGTTGGTAGGATTTTCCTGGAAACAGCGCACACCCCCCCCTTCCTGTTGGTTCTGTGCCCAGACTGGGCCTGGGTCTGGCTGGGGGCGGAGAGAACTCCTTCTGACCCCATCACGGATCTCTGTCCTTTGCCCCCTCCACCCCCACCACTGTGGCGCTCCCTAGGTCACGAGTACGCAGAGGAGAACCTGGGCTTTGCAGGCGTGGTGGAGCCCGAGAACGTGGCCCGGGAGAGGAAGATGCAGTGGGTGCAGAGGCAGCGGATGGAGCGCAAGAGCACGGTGTGGGGCCAGGGCTGGGGAGGGAAGGCGCCAGGCACCTCCCTAGAGTCCTGACAGGCTTGGTCCTCAGGGCTTTCAAATAGGAACTCCCCGACTCCAGTGCGGGAATGGGGGGCTCCCTGCATGGGGCCCATTTTTCAGATTCTCTCCACTGAGCCTGGTACCTGTCTCCCACAGTGCCCATCCACCCTGGGGGAGGAGCGCTCTTACAACCCGTTCCTGAGGACTCACTGCTTGGCACTGCAGGAGGCTCTGGGGCCAGGCCCGGGCCCGACGGAGGATGATTGCTTCTCTCGGGCCCAGCTCCTGGAGGAGCTGCGCCGGCTGAAGGACATGCACAAGAGCAAGTGACGCCCCACCATGCCAGCCTGCCCCATGGTGAGGAGGCCACCCACCGCCGCACCACACCGTCCCTCTCATTGTCACCCCCCCATCGGTGCCCACAGCAGCCATCCTTCCCCCACACTGATCTGGGGGAGGGGAGGGAGGGACAAGAACATGCAACTTGAGAAAGGGGGTTTGTGGAAGCTTGGGAGACCCCAGGGAGTGAGGCAGAGTTAGGCAAGCTGGGAGGAAGGGCGGGGTCTCAGAACATCTCAAGAGCCTGCTAACGGGAAGGGTCGCCTCCTGGCTTCCTCTGCTCCTGGGCCGACAGTGAGGACATTACAGAGGCTGCTAGGACCCCCTCCCTCAGCAAGTCTCTTTCAGGCTGTATCCTCGAACCCAGGGCAGCGGGAGCCATAAAGGGATTAAGTCCATCTTTCCCTTTCCCCCTTGCAGGTGGAAAAAAGTCAGTCCCCCAGAGTGGCCTAAATGTGGTGCCTCAGGGAAGTGGTGGCTCCGGAGCCAAGCGGCTCTGGTTTACTGAGACGCTGCCCCTCCCCGCCCTACCTCCCTGGCCCCGAGCCTGTACCGTCATTTTTCCGACTGAGCCATTGGGGGAAGTCTGAGCCCCACCTTCTTAAGACAGCCCCGCCCCCAGGGCCTCTGGCCAATCCCCTACAACCTAGAAGGGGGTGGGGGTGGGTGGGTCCTGGTTACCTAGGAAACCTGGCCCTCTTGCTGAGGAGACACCTGAGGCTGGTGGTAGGCCACAAGTCAGCCTGCAAGGGGGGCCTGGTCCTACCTGCTGGCCTCTGCGCCTACTCTGGGCCAAGGGCCTGTCTGTCCCAGGGAAGAGAGAGCCACGTTCCGCCTCGGCCACCGCACTGTTCCTCACTTTTGGCCCCTATTTTCAGAATTTCAACCTTCCTCAGTCTAACTCAATTCCTTCTGCTTTATCTTCACTCCCTCTCTTTTAGTTCCTAATGATAATGACTTATTTTTACGACTCCACATTCATATGGTCTTTGCAGTTTGCCAAGAACATTCCCAGGTGGTATCTCCTTTGATCCTTGGCCCCATGAGGGGGCGGGGCCTGCACACGCGCGGCAAGAGCTGGGACCAGGGAACTTGGAGTGAGGGGCGTCTTCCAGGACCCCAGGCCTGGGCCCCCGTCTCTGCTCACCCCATCCCCCAACTCAGTTTCTCCTCGGGTATCAGTCCAGGTCCGTTTGGAGGCCACAGTGAGGTCCTGAGGAGGCGTTCCTCGGGTCAGCCAGGAGCCTTTTCCTGTGTGAAGGCCTTCCCTTGGGCTCTGGCGAGCCTCCGAGGTGGCCCCTACCCACAGTTTGCCCTTTGCTTCCCTCTCCAGCCACGGCCTCTCGTACCAACTCTAGCAATACCGCCCGACTATTTAGAATCCCCCGCCCCCAAAACACACCGTATCATGCCTCCGTGCCTTCGCTCACGCTGTTTCTTCAGAGTGGAATGCCTTTCCCTGCTCCCCTTGTCTTGTCTGCCTGGCAACATCTATTCATCTCTCACAATCCCGCTCAAAGGCCCCCTCCTCCGGGAAGACCACCCTGATGCCCCTCCCCCTCCAGGCTACCTCTGCACTTTGTAAATGCTTCTCTTGTGGCACCTATCACACTGTACTTTACTTGTTTACATGTTTGTCTCCCCTTCTAGACTGTGAATCCTTAAGGGCATGGACTGTATCTTATGCATCTCAGTATTTCTGCGCCTAGCACGGTGCCTGGCACACAGTAGGCGCTCAATAAATGTTGAATGAATGATTTAACTGAGGTTTGATGACTTGTCTTCATTGCTGGTTGAGTGACAACAGAGTACCTTCCCACTGTTTTCCCATCTTGGGTAAACAACAACAACAAAAAAACTCACTGCCATGGAGTCGTTTGCGACTCATAGCAACCCCTCCTTGGGTTTCCGAGGCAGTATCACTACTGAAGTAGATTGTTCAATCTTCCTTCTGAGAGTGGCTGGTGGCTTTGAACCACCAACCTTCTGGTTAGCAGTCAGATGCCATAGGCACTACGCCAGTCCTGCTAACTTGGAGTAACTGGACTATAAGAGCTTTGGCCTGAGTCAACAAATGTATTTCTTCCACAGCACGTGTACATTTATTCAGGGTATACAATTTGCTTGTCTGCAGTGTTTTCCAAATCTAGGATATACAGGTGTATCCCTGGGCCTCAGGCGAGATGGTTTTAGATGTTCCCAGCACAGCAGTGACTGACACGTCTTGGGCAAGGCCTTGGTGCTAGCCTGTCCTTAACACCTCTAACAAAAAGTCTGAGGCCAACCTAGTTAAGGGTTAATTAACTAGGAACAGCGTCATTTTGTTTTCATCCTATTTGTCTTTGGGGTTTACTTTTGACAGAAGTTTTCATTCATGACACTGGTTTCCACTCATGAAAATGACTGCATATACACTTAAGTAAGAAAACATGAAATAATAATACAGATAACGCTTGGCTAAGGCAAAACTCTTGAAGTGGTTGTGGTAGTTAACTTGGCTGGGCCTGATTGAGTGGCTGAGCAGCTGGATGTAGTATTTCCCATGATGAGACTGGTAATCAACTCCATGGTGGAATCTACTGTGAGCCGCTGAGTAGCTGCCTTAGGGATGTGGTCTACTTCCTGTATATAAGCAGAAGCCTGGGGGAATGGTGTCTTGCTTATGGCACACTTAAACCCTGCATGTAGCTGTATCATTGTTCAACAGCCTGCCATGCTCTGCTGACCTTGGGACTTTCAATGGCCTTTCAATTAATGGCCTGCCATGTGGTTTGGTAACATTGTGATTGTGCCTTTTCACTTGTCAACCTTGGGCTTGTCAGCCTCAGCAGCCAACAGCTGCCTGAGTGAAGAAAAGCCTCTAGCTTCAGTGGGCCAGGAGCAAGAGGCAGAGCTGAAGCCAAGGTTGAGGGGCTTTCACCAAGCCCCTAGAGCCTGTCACTTTGAACTTGGACTTAAAGCCTCCAAACTGTGAGAGAATAAACTCCTGTTTGTTCAAGCCATCACATTTGTGGTATATTCCTGTCAGAGTGGCACTAGGTAACCAGAACAGTAGTACTGAAGCTTAAGACTGGGAAAAACTAGCTTAGCTCTCCACTTCCTTGGGGCCAGCCCAAATCACAGTGTTCCCACCGCCGGCCATAGTTCAGCCTCCATTCTTAGGTACCCGCAGCCTGGGCCAGGGACCTTGACAGTGGGCCCAGCTGTCCTGGAGCAGAGCTGCATCTGAATGAGGTGGGCTTTGCCTCCCTGAAGAAGGGTGGCTCTGTGATTGTATCCAGGCAGGGCACTCCAGGCATGCCCAGCTCCAAGGGACACTTGAAGAGGTTCCCTGGGGTTAGTGAAGCACTTTCCCAGGGCCTTCGGTAATCCTCCCACAGGGCGTCTGCCCTGAACAAAGGACATGTGCTTCTCCTGGAACTGACAGTGACCAGTAAAGACCAGGCCACCTGCTCTTCACTTGGCCAGCAGGTATAGTTGGCCTCGGAGTAAGGTTCCAGTCACAGCTCTGTCATTCAGCTTCCAGGCAGTGCTGGGCAAGTCACTTCCTGGTTTCAATTTCTTTTCCTTCCAACGGAGATGACAACCCTGGCTGAGTCCGAATCCTTTCAGGTGCAAGTGACAACACAAAGGGGCTTACACTAAAAAGGGAACTTATTAGCTCATGAGATGGAGAAGTGTGGGGTTAGGGCATGGTGGCGCCAAGCTTGGCTGGATTCAGGGATTCAAATGGTATCTGCATTGCTCAACTCTGCCTTCTGTATTGGCATCATTCTCTGTCAGGGTTTCTCCTTCCAGTGGAAAGATGATACTAGAAGTTTCAGGTTTCTAGTTTATCATACCTAGCAGAACCTCCAGTATTTCCAAACAACTCTGAATTGATTTTCATTGGTCCAGCTTGGGTCATGTGCCCAATTCTGAACCAATCTTTTAAGTTAGGAGAATGGGCTTATCTGACTGGCCAGGTCAGATCACATTCCTGGCTCTGCAGCCTCAGACTCAAACTGAACCACATGGACTAGGAGTAGGGGTTAGTTACCCAAAAGAGCAGGGGCTGCTGATTCTGGAAATGATGCAAGGCAGCAATATTATAAACCTTTACCAGGAATTCCACTCTCCTGGAAGCTATTGTTGTTGTTTGCCGTCGAGTCGGCCCCGACTCATAGCGACCCCTCCTTGGGTTTCCGAGGCAGTATCACTACGGAAGTAGGATTGCCCAACCTTCCTTCCGAGGAGTGGCTGGTGGGTTTGAACCGCCTGCCTTCTGGTTAGCAGTCAAGTGCCTTAGCCACTATGCTACCAGAGCTCATTAGAAAGGTCAAATGAGGAAAGGCATATGAAGTCACATTGAAAAATGCTACGTCAGAATTCTGACACTATAATTAATTATAGAGAGGAAATGAAGTTTGGATAATAATGCAATTTTAAAATAACCAGCAAGTGAGTTTTTTTTTTTTTTTTTTTTTGGCTGGCCTTTTCTCATTTTTTTCCTGAATCACAGACTGTCTGTCTTGGGGGTAGAGTGGGGAGGAGGAAGGGCAGGGGTTAGGTGGGCAGCCCTGGGTGTTCCAGGGAAAAACAGAACACGTGGAAGTTGTAGAAATGAGTGTACAAAACACTGAGTGTGTGTGTGAGCATGTGAGAGTGTGTGTGTGTGTATGTGTGTTAGGGGTGATCTTAGTCCTCCAAATCCCTGCTCATAATGGAGCCTTTGTGAGAGTTGGAAACCTAATCATGATGGCCAGTAAACCCTAGGCTGAGACAGGGGTGGAACATGGTGGTAGACAGAAGGTGGAAAGACCATATATTGTACAAAATGTCCAGAATAGGTGCAAAAAGAACATGGGAGAGGCATCATCCGACCTCCTCTAACTTCACAAGGGGGAGAGAGAAACACCATCAGTATCAACAGCCTGAGACTGACTCCTGTGAGGCGGAGGCCAGACATGCCTCTACCCTTCAACGTTTTGACCAATTCTAACACCAACCTTGCCTCCCATGGCATTCTGCTTCCCTGCTGGGTCCAGTAATTCATTGCAATGGCCACTCAGAACTCACAGACACTATTCACGAGTATTGGGTTTGTGGTAGTTAAGTTTGTGTGTCAGCTTGGCTGGGCCTGGTTGA